GAACGCTGGTGTAAAACATTCCCAAATGGGTTGAGCCTTGGGGCGACCTCAGAGACTGCCAGCCAGTTAATGAAATACAGCGCTGCCCGATACACATCTCCCTGGCAGTTATATAATGCTGAGAGATTAGAGGTAGAAGAGGCTGTCAGTAAGAGAGACGACAAAAGGCAGTCATTGTGCGGCATACCTGAGGGCCATGCATGCGTTATGGTCGCATGAGGTCGACTCTGACGTTCTACTATGACTGTTTTCATTAATTAATTCAATCTTACCGGTTAGTGGTTTAACATTTGGGCTTGTGCCGCTCCTCACAGAGAGTCTACTGTTTATCTGTGGCTTAATGTTCACAACAGACAAGTGGAAGAAGCGAACTTAATCCTTGTTCTTCCACTTGGTTTACGTGGACATATATGGGAGTGGAAGGAGGCTCAGAGGTTAGAATACCCGTCTCATCTTGTGACCAAATGGATCTCTGGGAAATAAATGAGACACTCCTGCTTCTTTACAAACTACAGGCTGTGGTGTGCTCGCATTTCAGCAGCTCAGGAAGAACAAAGGGACGCAAAAGCATCCTCAGTCTATATGTGCTTACAGACGGCATTAGTATAACTCCTTACACACCAGCCTTTATGGTGGTTCTGAGTGCAACTAGTGAAAAAAAATGTTTTTTTGCATTATCTTCAAGAAAAGGGACCTCAATTTCCTTTTCCATTAACAGTTGCATTTGATTCAATCTCATCCCCAAAATGAACTATTCCTTTAAGAAACAATAACACTAAGTTAGCAAAAAAGCAGTTGAACTTGCACATTAATCTGACGAGCCAACAACAAACCTTTTTTCACATCATGTTTGCGTTGCTGGAGAAATGTTTGGCTGGACCTGCAGACGTTCAGAGATAATTAACATGAAAAACAATCAGACAGAGTTGTTGGAACGTCTCTCAGTACTTCAAACACGCACACTGGACAGCTATATTTCTTGGACAACTTGCTAATGCTTGCCAAAAATATAAAAAGGTAGTGATTAAGGCTGAATATCCAACATCAATACTGTTTTTCCAAACAATACCAGCCACAGTGTAGCGGTAATACCTGATCATACCAAAAAGTCCTCCAACTATAGGCTACAGACTCCACCAAGCTAAACTTTCATGATAATGCAATTAAAGCAAGCACAACAGAACATTTAAAGTATGGAAAAAACCTTTACATCTGATCAGCTCCTTTCTCCAGCAAAAGCACCACACTGCCTGGATCACCCTCAAACTAGGCTTGGGTGATATCCAAAATTGAGTATCTTGACACAGTCCAGCCCAAATATCGTGATATAGAATATTATCGGGTGTGGGATTTTCTTTATAAGAGATTTATATAATTGTATTTTAAGTTTCAGGTATAAGCGATGCTGCCACTAAACAGCAGTTTAGTTTCATTTTATTTGTCACATGCCCAAAGAACAAATATGCATACGCGATTTTGGATATGATCAAATGTCAGTCAAGGCCTACCTCAAACAAAACTACACATCAGTGTTGCACTGAATACATGAGTTTATAAAGTGGTAATCATCAACTCTATGTTTTGTTTCATAATGTTCAGTATGTCTCCACAGGAACAGAATACAGTACAAAAGCCACAGACGCAGAATAACACCTAGCAGTGGAATATGTTATCGACTGTGTTTCTAATTCAGGACGACCCGGCGCTGTTGTAAGTGAGCCGCCTCCTGAAGCGAGTGTTCAGGGCTAAAAGCAGAACTTCCAGTGGACCTGGATCTGGAGCCGGAGCTGCGGTCAGGAGCAGCAGACTTTGATTGTACTGGGGAGGTGAGAAATGTGTGGAGCTGTGTGAATGTGAAGTGAGCGTGTGAAAGTCAAGCAGGGAGGTGCGGAAAAACACTGAGCGTGTGCCGGCTCAGCCACAGATAAATACAGTACAACCATAAAAATAAACTACCACAAGAACTGAGTGTACAGTCTGTCTGCTGTTTTACACACAGGGCAATTACTGCTCGCTAACTCAGGTGTACAATTACACAACTAAATCATCAGACTATTATTGTAATGCGTTGTACTACTGCTTTATTTCATGTCTAGGTGGGACATCCTGTCAGAATATGGTTAACCAAATTGTAATTATAGTTGCAATTAATAAAAAAAAAGTGCATATTTGATGCGTATGAATATGAATGCATATATTATTGTGTCTAACGGTAACTGCAAAGAGTTAAAAAAATAGAGTCTGAACAAGTGATAAGTGACTTACTCACAGGTTAACAGTTCAAGTCTGGTTCCAGATCGCTGAATCATATCTGAATATATCCACATCTACAGTTTGTTCAGAAATTTAAAAGGAAGTGAAGTCTGATTATGACGATACAAACAGGCTTCAGATTTGTTGTAGTAGCAGACTGAGAGCGCATTCTCACAATGGAGTTCAAAGCCTGTTGTGCCTGATGTGCCTTTACATGGTAAATTCAGAATTCTGTCACATCATTACACGTCACGATACACGATACACACGATATACATTCTTTCCCACACATGAAAAGGCAGTCTGAATTGATATTTTACTGCCTCTACAGAGAAAATTAAATATTAATAGGGTTGCAACTAAGGCTTATTTTCATCATCGATTAATCAACTAATCGTTTAGTCCAAAAAATGCTCGTCAGTTACTAAGAGCCTAAAGTCTGGCCTTCCAAGGGTCTAAGTACTCAGTTGTTGCAGCTATATATTAATTCACAAAAGTTATTTTGGATTGAGTTTATATTTTGTGTATTTTTCTACAATAATTCAGTTGTATTCATCCATGTAGATTTCCTGCTGTAATTTTCTGAAAAGGGAAATGAGAAATTGTGCTTTCTAGGAACCACAGTTGTGCCTTTCTTTGAAAGAAGCCTGATGTTGTTTGGAGGTTAGGGTTATTCTTTATCAAACAGTGTGTACTTTTACATATGATGCCTGCAGTTTATGGAGTCAGCAGTGCGCGAGGGTGGAGGTCAGGTGCTCTGTTTACATAAGGACAGTAAGTTTAAGTGGAGCGTGAGCAGAGACGCTCACATTTAAACACCTAAACACGGTGAGAGCAGCAGCTTCCAGTCTGGTCCTCGATGTAAGTAAATGTAATGCAGGAGGCAGCAGGGTGGACCCTCCACCTAAGACGGAACCAGGAAGTGGTTTTCCATCAGACTCTGACAGGTGGTGGATCTGTCTGGTTTCTGTCTGACAGCATTCCTGCTGTCACCACCAAACCACACCACCGCCATATTCACACAGGTGAAACGTGAAGGGGTGTCTCAATGTGTATTACAGCACCCAGTGGCATACCGCTCATAGGGAGACCAGGAGATGCCGAATGATAGGAACTGTGACTGAATACACTGAACTCCTTAGTAACACACAACACACTGACACTCCCTAACTAACAAGTCAGAGTCAATATACTATAATGCAAAGGTGCTGCTGTTAAGACACTAATAATAAAGCGTCACAAAGGTGTGCACTGCAGAAAAATACCTGGGTGAAAATCTGCTAAAAAATCTGCCCCTAAAAGGCTGAAAAGTTTTTATTTCAACGGCCACATGTTTAGTTTCAAAATCATTAATATTGCTAATCTATCTAATCTTGCACAGCTGTACAGGCCTTAAAAGGTTACATATGAACATGGTGTGTTGGGTTTATGACATGAACAGTATAAAAAAATGTCCCTGAACTGATTACGGATTACAGATTCAGATATGTCGTGTTTTCTCTTACGTCAGTGATACAGACAGAGCGCAGCACTGACCTGCCCTGTGTTATGATTATGATGATCCACCTGTCTAGGCACGCAGCTCACAAACACACACCACATATACAGAAGAGCAGGCTTAGAAACATCGACAGCACTCAGACAGAGCAAGTCCAACCAGACTCTGGACTGAGCGAGGCATGAAAATAACTAACTGAGGGTTGAGGTTAGCAGGTCCATCAAAATTTCATGACGGTAGCTCTAACAAGGGAGGACAGAAAGCAGACTAACAGAATCTCAGTGCGTGGTGTACATGTTAAAAGACGAGCTGGGGGTAAAAGGTGAAGCTACTGTTGAAAATTTACAGCAGAATCTTGACACCATGCAGCTTCCATGACGAAGATTACATATTCCTATACCAGTGTTTCATCTGCCAACCCCCTGGTGGGTGTTGTGTGGTTAAACCCAAATTACCTAATGTTACATTTGAGTAAACATTAAGAATTTACCCTACTGTAAAGGCTCGTCTACACAGCCACATTTTTCATTCTTGATCAGTCTATGATCTCCCAGAACTACTTTATAACACGTGCTGCCAATCACAGCGAATATCAAAAGTGTATATTAGTCATTCACATTTGCAAATGTTCAGACAGACATTCACAGTGTTGGATGTACATATGAAAAACACCATGCATAAATAGTGGAGTAACTACACAGAGAGGAGCTTCTTTTTGTTGTTCTGAAGAGAAAAGGGGAAAACTGTCTGTTTGTTGACTTTGTAAACTTCATGTGCTTTTCAGTAACTTTTGACTGGAGTAAGGCAGTGAAGGCACCATGCATGAACACTACAGTGCTTATCAATTCTTCACAGTAGGTTAATAATAGACTGCATGGGTTGCATTCAAATGAACTGAAACAGATTACGTGTTAGTTCTCATTCGTTTTAACTTGAATTTTTTGAAAATGTGAAACCTGTTTTGACATCACAAACTGACTTTAATGATCCAAATCAGAGAGGTCAGAGGCTGAAACTGTGCTGAAGCTGATCTACATCAGAGTAAGCTTGACCTCATGAAGCAAAACTTCAACTTCATTTGTGAAACACCCTTCTGATGTGATCTATCATAATAAACGGAATATGATCACTTTTGCAGAAACAGATTTACAGTTGGATTTCAGCAGTTACATTATGTCAGCGCTTGACTTCACCACTTCAGCCACCCTCATGATCAACCCCAACATTCACACACTTGCATCCCTCTTACCCTTGAGCAGAGGCAAGGGCGTGAGCTCTATGGGTTTGCCCTGAGAGCGGAACTGGGACGAACTCTGCGACCGCTTCTGCTTAGCCTTCCTGACAGACTTCCGTGAAAATCCGTCCACTTTGTCCACAGATGGAGATGTGGTGGCTGCCGAGGACATAGCCCTGCTGGGAGAAAGACACGGGGGGGGGGGGGTTAACACAATCACATTAGATATGCATTTAGAGAGCTCTCAGTTCACTGAGGGCAGAATGATTAACCACAGAATACTGACAATTCCACAGAAATGAAGCTGGACTTCAGCTGAGGTGGATTTTTAAAGGCAAATATCAATTGTATGATTTGTTTGATACGTTTAACTGGAGACTGAGATAATACTCAATGCCTACAAGTCAGGTGGTATTAATTTGAAAACAAATGCAAGACTCCAGTTTGTCTCTTAAACTTGATTCTGTCATCAAAATGCCTTTTGAAGACCCTCTGAATGTATGGAAGCATTACGAATAAATACAATCTCTAAATGAACCAATAAACTGTGAAATGAGTTAATAAATGATCAAAACTAAATTAATTATTATGAAATGTTACTTCATAAGTCATATATATATATATATTTAAAAAAGAGGGTTTTATTTTGAGTTTTTGTATTTCAGAAATTTTTATTTTAAAATAAAATAAATATGTAATAACTATATTCAATAATGCCATTTTTCCAAATGACTTTTTTTCTTTTTTTTTTTTAAATATATGACACTAATTTAATATTTATTGGTTCATTTATACATCATTATAAGTTTTTTCATAATGTCGTAATTATTCAATTCATTCATTTTGAGTTCTTTGGGGCTCCAGAAGAATGCTAATTAAAATTATACTTTAAAGAACTTAAATTAAACCAGTCTTACAGACTTCTGGGAGTTTGTCATTAGTGGAACTGCAAACCAAGGAACAAAAGAATTTGAAAGACTTTTAAAACAAAATTTCAGATTTAAAAACACTTTAACTTGATTACAGTCTTTAAAATCAGAAGACATAGTTTTGGAAATTTCAAGACTGATCATTCTTATTATATCACAAGACAGTTATATAATAATCAATCAAAAGCAACAGTTATATTTCCATGATTTAAGACCAACCCAAACTTTTAACTCTTACTTCCTTGATTTGAGCTGAATTTTGGGCACAGACTCATTTTTAGCCATTGCCATGCAGCTCCAAACCCTGAAGTTTATTCTGGGTAGTGAGCTCATGAAAGCAAAAGAAAAAGAAATAAATAAACAAAATAAAAAGAAAGAAAACAACCTCCCCACTGACTTTTTAACTCTATATCAGTCCACCTTCCCGCAGCCTTTTATTAGTCTCACAACAAACCTGTGCAGCCAAAGCAGACAGCCTCATTTTCCCAGCATAGGAGACTATTCAGGCCTCAGCAGAGGCCTTGTTACAGTGCAAAAACACACAACCGTCCTACCTGCCAGTGGACCATCACACTCACACACACACCCACACACACACCGAAAACACCAGCCTCTACCCACAACAATGGAGCTAGCTCTGTGGCTGCGAGCTGTCGCCACAGTGGGAGGAAGCTGAGGAAACGTCCACTGCTATGTGTTTGCTGCTGATTACATGCCAAAAAAAAAAAAAAAGTCTGGTAACAACAAAACACAAGCCGCCGCAGCAGCAGCAGAAGCAGTCGCACTTCTCACTGCAAACTACTGACTGCTAAACTACGGTACTCCACCACACCCATGAGGAAATGGTTGGAAAAAAAAGGTGAAGATTTCTTTGCAGTTGTCAGAGGGTACAAAGAACCATCTGGTGAAAGGGCAGCTGAGACACAAAATCTGGCTATGCAATGCTAAACACAATCTACAGACAAAACTGAAGCAATTATTATTTTTTTTTTACATTCAAATGCTAATTTCAGATGCTTACCACTAGTAGAACAAAGAATGTAAAGTTTGGCTTGATGTTAACCTGTGTTTTATCAACCAGTTAGCCACTATTTTGGAGTCACTTTTGAGATAATCAATCTTCTCTATGTGTGAATATGGAGCCGTTTCAGAGTGTGTTCATATAAATAATGTAGGCAAAGAACCTGCTCCACTAAACAAATATGTAATAAACAAGCAGTGAGAAAGACAGTGTGTGGGAGTTTCACTTTTATACTTGTTTAATATAGTAACACTAGCATGGTAATAAATGTACAGTTCTGATTTTAAGCCTTTTTTTTTTTTTTTTTTTTTTTACTGTGATTCCTCAGTTTTTGAGACTATTGATTTTTGATTGTTATTCATGACCATGAGGTGAACAGATTGTCTTGTCCTTTGTCATGTTGGCCATTTTGCATTCCAATAAAGTGTGCAGATTGTCTGCTAGTTTGCCTTTATAAACCGCACTATTGGAAATATAAAGTTGGCACAAGATAAAAAGTCAGTGATCACCAAGTAATAAGATTCACCCAGTGGGGGGGGTGAGGGGTGTCGTCATTAATATCTGAGCCAGATTTCATGACCGTCCACCCAGCGGTTGTTTAAATAATTCACTTTAAATGAAAGCGTTGGACAGGCAGATCGACTCTGCCTTCCCTAAAGCTACACTGACACAAGTAAAAAAAAAAACTGGTGTCATTATCAACCTTCAAAATCAATCCAACCCCACTCATAATGGAATTAATCTGTGAAGTCATGCTTATTTCACACTTGAGTAATTTCCATGTCAATCTATTTATTTTCTAATCATGTGCCATTAACTTTGAAAATTACGTGTCTAGACTTGCACATGACTAAGGCAACAAGAACTGGAGACAGTGATGCCAAGAGAGGACAAATCCAGTCCACACTAACTCAGCTGGACGACATGAAGACATCAGAGGAAATGAGTTAGAGGTCCAGCAAAAATCGTTATGTAATAAAACGTGAATGAGACGCTGCGGGCCGTACTGTGCACTGGCTGCATCAAAGTCAAGCAGGCAGTCATACAGTATGTCCACCAGGCCATGTACATGACAGAGTGGACAGACGAGGAGAGGAGAGACAGCGGGACACACTCAGCTTTCATTACAAACACACACCCACAAACATCATTGTGCTGCCTGAGGATATGGACAGTGAAAGCCGTTTACAAGCTATCTGAGTCTACACAGCTGATCATCCATCATCATATACACTATACTGCAATTTAAACGTGATTCATGGCTCCAGAGAAGCAGCATGCCCGTATGTGGTTAGAGACTGTCAGGGTGTCGATTCGAATATGACTAAGTGGAGGAATATAATAATCAAGACCGACAAGTGTGATTAATAAGAAGAGTTCCTAAACTAACCCTAAACTTCAATGTCATAATTTCCCCTCGTTAAGAAAAACATGTCAATTTGGTTTGATGACGTAAGTTTTCAGTTTGTTTTATTCAACCAATGGACTAAAAACCCAAAGATATTCTATTTTCTGTCAGATGTGACAGTGAAAGAATCAGAAAAACTTAAATGCTCCCCACAGGGAAAGTGCTTTGTTAAAGTTGCACAGCACACCATTAAGAAAGAGGAAGTAAATACGTAAATACGACTATAAATAGTAATAATAATAATAAATACACAGTAGGTGAATAGAAAAATGTACAAAGCAAATGAGCAAGGTCGAATCTCCAGGCCTCTTCAACATTAGCATACAGCACGTCCAGGGTCCAGTTTCCTCTGGTAGTGCAGTCCAAAAACTGAGTGAAAGTGGGAAGAGTCTGGTCCAGCTGCAGTCCCCGGAGACCATGAAGAAAAGACTAAGGCGCAGAGTCTGGAGTTTAGTGGTAACAGGGTGGATATCACACACATTGTCTGGTTAACGGAGGGTTGGATATAAACAACAACTGAGACGGAGAGTGAGAACTCCTTGAATATGGGTGTATGTACAAAGCCCGACAGCTAACAGTTCGATGTCTGGGCTGCAGAAAGTTATGATTATAATGAATTTCTTTCCCTTCTCAGATTTATTTCTGTCCATGAGAACCATCCGAAAGCCGTCAACAGTACAGATGGGATCTGTAGTATCTTCCTGTAACCATGTCTGTGAAACACACACTACACTCATGGGAGTCCCCTGATTCCGCACTAGGGCCACTAACTCATCCATCTTATTGTCCAGCGATCTCACATTAGCCATGATGATAGAAGGGAGGTACTTCTCCATCATGTCCCTCTTCTGATTTCTGCAGGGATGTCTGTTATTCTGGTCACTGGTAATGCTATTCACCATGCCGTCCAGTATCAACATGATCAGGTGCAAACAATGCGACTGTGGAGTTGCTGCACAATGATGACATAGCTGGACAGACGAGAACTCTCTCTGCTAGCCTGTTTAGAGGAGGTGCAGCTTAAAATAAGTATATTAAAAAAAAAAAGCTAAAAAGTTGGAAAAATATGAAAACAAGTTGGAGCAATTGCAACAGGCGGCATGTGCACTCAACACTCATGTAAATTTACTTTTAACTGGATCTTTGGGTATAGTCTAACTATGCCCTACAGATGCAGAGTCCCATATGACAATAGCAATTACATGGCAACAGAATCATCTGTCAACACTGCTCATTGTCTTATCCTTCAGAACCACACAGCTGTTAATGATCCATCTGTGTAAAACGCCTTCTGTTGGGCATCAGCATCGTCACCATGGTGGGAAAACACCTCCAGCTGAGCACTGATCTGTCTTATCTGTGGCTGCTGAGTTTAAATTCTCCAGCAGCCAGTTTGGCAGGTTACTCGCCAGTAATCTGAAAGTCCTGCTGCGTTGGGCGGTAAAAATAAAACTGTGGCTGAATACCAAGCAGCATGGAGACTAAACAGTACGTGCAAAAAAATTTGATTTCATGCTAGTTTTTTTTGCTAGTTTTGCCTTTCAAACTTTGACACAGGACTATTCAAATGTCATACAAAGTGAGTCCCAGCAGCATCTCAGCCTTAACGCAAACCTCAGTGTACAACAACAACAAAAAACTGCAAATTGACGCCTCAACACCTGTTCTGTGTGCTGCTGCTGCTGAACCTCAGAGACCAGACGCAAAGCGGGCCAAGGCCTCTGAAAATCACCTTCACTCTGAGATTAACTCTGGCTAAAGCCTTAAAGCAGAACAGCTCTGACGTACACACTCTTTGACACCTTTATGGCGATCAGGTTTTATTCCTGTAATCAGTTAAATCCACAATTACAGGAGTTGTGATGCTGATTTGGCGCAACAGCTGCCATCAAATGTCCAAAGAAGTTTCACTCACAGGCAAAAGGGATTTTTGGGGAGGAGCTTTTTTCCTAAACTGTCTGAGGACAGAGAGTGTGTGATAGAGAGCTAAACCTATTAGTTGGTTTTCTCTGTTTTATATCATTAGAAAATGAATTATATCTCTAAGCAGCAACTATTTGGATAATCAAATAATCTTTTTGAGGTTTCAACAACTCTACTATGAGAATCTGATGCTCATCTTTGTTACATATAAGAATAAAATGAGCATCTTTGGATTTTAAACTGTTGGTCAGACAACAAGACATTTAAAGAGCATCACTTTGAACACACAAAGCCATTCATCGATTTAACTGGGGAATTATCAGCAGATTAATAATTGATTTGGCTTTTACTTAAGGAAGCTGCGTTTTAAATACAGTTCTCACATACATACTAAGTCCTAATGCAACTTTCAGCTTCTGCCAGGATGACTTCATACAGCGAGTCTACTTCATTCAGTGCTGCATTTATCAAGCATCTGTGAAGGTGTACATCTCGCAGCAAGGAACACACTCAGTAACCGACTCAGTTTCTGCCTGCTACATCTCTAATGGAAACAAAAAATATTTTACAAAAACGGACAAACTACAACCTGTTGGCTTCCGAAAATTTTCTACGCATTTCAACAGAGTTACTTCACTTACCTGTGCAAAGGGGCACTGGAATCCCCATGTACAACCATCAGTCCCTCACTTTCTATCCCTCTCCCTGACTTGCCGGCTAATGGTGAAAACACTCAAGTGCAGCCACAACACACGCGGGAGAGCAAGACTACGGCGGGTGGTCAGGCGTACGGCACCCAAGCACCAAAGCCATTCCCCGCCCATGCCTCTTACATAAGAGACCAGATGACATCCAAACAGGCTCGGGGAGGGTGGGATTAAAGAACAAGGAGGAAGGAGAGAGGAGGGGGCACAGCGAGCAACAGAGACAGCAACAGAAAGGGAGGAAGAGGAGGGAGGGAGGGAGGAAAAGGGAGCAAGGGAGGGAGCTGCCGTTCAACAGGAAGTCAACACATAGGCAGCGGCAGGGCAGAGCAAAAGGAGCTGAATAGAGGGAACAAACTGCACACAAACATGTACAAGAACACAGACGCAGGAGATAAAAAGGAGGCTGGCAGGAGGAAATCTCAGGGATCTCGCCTGTGGTCCAAAGTTAAAACCCCTGAGATCTGCAACAATCAAACATAACTATAGTAATGACTCAACTTTAGGTAGGAATATTTGTTCTAAACTCAGGCATGATTTGAATATTACAGACAAACAGCTAGAGGGGGATTCACTCCTGATTTCACTGTTAAAACAATGAAATCGGTTCAGAGAATTGCATCACACTGAACTATGAATGCAGCTTTTAAAACCAATATTTAAGAAACAGCACAACGCATCTCTGCTGATATTTAGTCTTATGTCATGATGAATATTATATCTACAGCTGACACGGGACATTTGCAGGACTCAATACCTAAAAACAAGGAGAACATTATACCTAAATCTTGACAATATTGGGGTTGCCACTAAACATGTTTGTAGTCACTTAATCAACAGATTATTTTCTTCATTCATCAATAAAACATTGTATAAACACGTATATAAAATGTTGGTTGATAGTAAAAAATGGTGGCCCTCTGTGATGTTTTTAAATGTCTTTTGTCCAGCCCATAGTAAAACAACAAACAGAAAAAAAGCAAATAAATAAATAAATAAATAATAATAATATCGCATTTGAGATACTGGAACGAGTCAATTTTGCTTTACTCTGTATAGCTCTTAAATCAGTATTCACTAGGTGTAACTGCACAAGCTAATGCAATCCAATACAACTGTTCTGCCATAAATTCTAATAAATCTATGTTGATTCTATTATATTATTTACCATGAATTTAAAATGGGGAAGACATAAACAAGAAATACTTCTGAGTTAAATGTAATCCAGTACAACACTCTCTTTAACAATGACCTCAGTAATAAACATATGTTTATATTTACATATTCAGAGAAATGTCACCAAAAAATGGACATTATTAACTTTGTAAAGGTAGAATTTATGGCAGAGCAGCTGTATTACATTTGCAATAAATTGTACCAGTGTACCTGTACAGGTGTGGTCACTATCTGTACAATAATAATAATAATAATAATAATAAAATAGATTTCTTTCTAATAATAATTGTTTGGTTATATTATAAAAAGGTATTGATATTTGAAAAAGGTGATCACAGCTTTCTACACCACTATAACTTATGTCCAACAACTGTCCAAAACTATTACATTTATATTTGTAATATTTTTTTGCAATTACAAGACTAAAAAACAATAAATATTCAAATTTGAAAAGCTGGAAGCCGAGAATTTATGGCATTTTGCTTAAAAAATGACTGAGATGACAACTTAATTGCCATTTTAAGTTGTTGCAGGGTATTTTCCAGTTCCAGTTTCGTTCCAGTTGTATTAAGTGTACAAATCAATATATATCTATATTAATATATATACTATATATATTAAAAATTAAAAAAAAATCTGTATTCACCTCCTGTGGTTTGCATTTACTGAGGGAGGCTACAAACCTAGACATAAGAAACTAAAAGTCCTAAAATGTCCTTAAATCATGTTGTAAGTTAATGCCGAAAACTGCTTCAACTTTGCTGCCATTACTTCCTCCAGGAGCCAGAACCAAACCTATCACAGCAAGAAATTATTTATACATAACAAAGGACAGGTTTTTTTTAACATATCAATCTCCTAGATTTACTGATTAATGGATAAGAGGTCACACCACTAATTATATCAGTATGAATCCCATTTCACTTTTGACTGAATGCTGCAATCTGACAGCATGTCTAATTGGTGTGATTCATCCATGGGATAATTATGCTGTTCAGTCAAGAACAAATGAACTCAGCAACTTTCAAACACACACACACACACACACAGCTATACAGAAGTGATAAGGAGGAGGCAGTTACTACACCAGCCTCATCATAAACACAGGAGACTTTGGAAGTTGAGCTATCTCGACTTGGGCTGGACCTGCCCTCAAACTGGTGTGACATTCAGAAACCTTGAAGATGAGCCAGCGAGACAGTATCAAAATTGGTAGTACACTTTCACAAATACCATCATATGAAATGCACAATGCCACACCTGGCTTCTGGCACGCTGCTCTCATTCCCACATGCCTGACAGGGCAAAGGCTAGGTGAAAATAAAAGTAAAAGTCTGAGCTGACGGAAGTCAATTCAGTCTTGTACATACTATCAGCCCTTAGCTTTATCTTTCTGTATCCACCTCTCACTCATCACTATGTTTCTACCTCCCTTCATCCATGTCACTACAGTGTCATTAGTGGCGATGGTGGTGGTATACACACTTCCAAAGATGTTGACACAATGGTGGCCTACACATAAAAAAAACATTACAGTCCTGTGGCATGAGGTAGGAGTTTGTCAGACACAGTATCTTAGTGCACAGCCAGTCAAAGTTCATATCGGATTATCACCACACATTTGACAGTTGGCTTCACTTGACAGGAAAGCTAAACTTGTCTCAGGCCATGTTCACAAAGGCTTTTTCAACCCATGAGGATTAAACATCAGCATTTACTTTTAAGCAAACCTGCCCGTGACCGTCCTGACATCAGCTCTGCCGGGAAAGATCAGCCACTAAGCCACCACCTAACCCAAATAGCACAATAAAGATTATATCCCTTTACAATGCAATTTGATGTTACATATTTACTGTTATCGGCTCGGGCAGCAAAGACGGCCATCAGCTGCATAAGGTTAAAAAAAAATCAAGCCGTTTAGGGGAGCTGGCGTTAGCTTGGCCATGTTGGGCCTGGCAGCAGCAGAATATTCAAAACTTGACAGCGCGATAACCCCCACTTACGTTAGCTAGCTAGCAACGTTAGCATCCCGATTAACCGTTACAAAGCGACTGAATGTAACTTATAAACCGTTAACTAGTTGTCTCCTCAGAGTCAATAAAACACTTAAATATGGTTATCATGGAGACAATGCAGCCTTTTATTAAAGCCGCCCAGCTTTATTTCAGAAAACGACATTTTAGGTAGCTAGCTAACGTCAGTGCTACGGCTATCGCGGGTTAGCTCAAGTTGAACATGTAGCCTTAGCTTATTAGCCGCCACCAGCTCGCATTCTGTGCAAAGGAAACATAAGAAGCTGATATAAACACAGTGAATAGATCAAATCTAAATTTGCATGTGTGCTAATAAGATAACGTTACCTGGGCGGACTTGGGCGATCACCCATCATCCCAGATGTAAATACAGGGGCAGTGCTAATGCTGCTACCGTTAGCTAGCGCTCACAGACTGACAGACCGACTGGGCTGGGAAACACACACCGTCCCGAGTCCCGACCCGAGCCCGACAAGCTGCAGCCGACCGAGTGGCTGTTAGCTCTCCAATCGTAGTACTTTACCTTGATCCTCTGCGGTTCGCAACGGAGACGGCGACGAGGAGTTATCCTATGTTTGGAAATCTAGCGGGCTAACTGTTAGGCTACCTCCAGCTCGGTGCAAACAGCCTTTCCCAAGCAGCGGCGGAGCAGCAGGAAAATCTTGGCCTGAAACAGCCAAACCCACGAGTACCTTTTTCCTTCCAACGGAATAATCCTCAAACTTCCATTAATAACAAAATACGGCTATATAAAACGATTAGGTTAACGCAATTACATTCCTGTTATTGATTCAACTGCTTGTCTTCCCCAAACCCCTGGATTTTGGTGTTTTCCTCAGCTCGTTTATGATTCGGGGCTGTTTCTTTTCACCCTATTGTCAACACTGCTGGGCTGAGACCATGGCACACATAACAGAGACGCAGCGTAGCTTGCTTGGCGGGGTTCAGGTCGACGTACGACGCCGATTGGCCGCTGGTGTCGATGTCAGCCGTTGTGATTGGACAGCGGCGGTTGTCAATCACCGCGGAGGGAAACGAGGCTCTGAATTCGTCGGTTAGGTGGAAGAGAAGGGACAAGGAAAGAGATCGGGCAGAAAGCAGAGTGCACTGTGTGTGTGTGTGTGTGTGTGTGTGTGTGTGTGTGTGTGTGTGTGTGTGTGTGTGGGTGTGTTTGTGTGTGTGTGTGTGTGTGTGTGTGTGTGTGTGTGTGTGTGTGTGTGTGTGTGTGTGGAGAGAGTCTTTACCACACAGCGTGCTGGAATGAGGCTAAACCTGTCCGAGGCCCAGCCCTGCGCTTCAGCACTCTTTACCGGCACTTGGACGGTCGGTTTAACCGCAGATACTACCGGCCTCAGAGCCTAAGCAGCGCCGTGTGAACGAAGAGTGGGTTTCTGTGCAAGCCCTAAGATTACAGAGAGATATGTTTGCAGGAGGGGAGTTACATAACTATAACATATAGGTCTACTATGAATATAGCCAACGCTAGAGCACCTCCATGGGCGTACATTTAGGAGCGTGAAGGGGGCAACATGTTCCCTCCCTCCACCGGAAATCAGCCCAACAAAAACAGCCACATGTAGCACGTTGTCTATAAAGTTATGGTAAACTTACAACTCCATTGTCAGATGAGACCTCCATGGACTTCATGAAGCTATGTAATACCAAATATTACAAGGAAAAATAAAAAGCTCCCTACTTAGTAAAAAAAGAGTCCCGTTTGTACTTTCATAAAAAATTTATTTGCATAATTAATTTGTCATTACATGGTAAAAACCACTATGGGAGGGTGTTTCTCATATTTACTCTAGTCCAAAATCTTGTTTATGACAAAAAAGAAAGCTGCTTCACAAAGCTGGAAGGGCAGTAAAGTCTTTACTGTATGCTGACTGACAGAATATCGGCTTTAATGTATGGTAGAATCCAATAATAAATAATAAACACCTGGCACATGTCCCAATACAGCATCATTAAAATATTTTATGATTAATTTAATTACAGTAATTCTATTATATAAATGTGTGTCATGTCATCAATATCATCTTTTATAATCTTTACATTCTATATACATATCATCATGCTTTTAATCTTATTCAGGATATGATATGGAACATTATCTGGCTGTTTATATACCTGTATGATTCTAACATTATCCAGGTTTTTGATGGTTTGTGTAGGAGCATCTTCGACTCCTCCACATCACAGACAGCCTGTCATTTCTGCACTGAGAGCGAGGTATTATCAGTATGTGATTGTGACCTGTGGATCTTCAAAATTTTATAATCCAATATTTATTTGAATTCAATTTTTTCATTAAAAAAACATAATGTGCCAATCATCACTTCCAATAATATTTTACATAATGTACAACTGTATTCTTGATAATATGGATACAGAGGATGTTCATGTGTATCTGAGTATATGTACTTAAAAGAGTTTGCTAAAAGTGTCTTTGTGTGCATATATAATTTTTTTATTTGTGACAATTGGATTTTTTTTATGTGAAAACAAATAAAGGAAACTCCTCAATGAGCTGCTTTGTTTAATGCAGTGACTCCGCCTGTCTCATCACCATGCAACGGTGTGTGTTATTTTTCAGTCACTATAAAAAGCCGTGAACTTGTGAATAAAGATCACTGAGTCAACACAAAACATTTCTGAGAGTCCTGAATGTCTGTAATGTGAATGGGAGTTTGCCTCAACTACCTGAATCACTGCGTGATTTCACCTGAGTCACACACACACACACACACACACACACACACACACACACACGTTCTTCCACTCTTTGCCATTTGAGAGCGATACCTGCTCTCTCAGCGTGATCCCACTGTGCTGGGCGGCTCCGGTGGACGAATGAATCACTGCAGCTTTAAAGAAGAAATATTACTAACATAAAATGATATAATAATAATATTAATGGGAAATTTCGCAAACTTGTACAAATTTTAATTTAAGAATGAAAACCTCAGAAATAGCAGCTACCAGTTTCATACTACAAATAAACAGCGTGTAATACATTCTTGATACAAACTCCACGCCACAGGGCAAAATGTCAAAATGTCAAAATGTCATTTTAATTACATGTTAATGTAAGAAGTGGAACATGTCAGTGGACCATATATTAGGCTGACAGTTACCACAACAGCAGAATACCAGTGTGATGGTGAGGGCTGCAAATTATTCCATAATCTGTAAATTACTTTCTCAATTGATTAATTTATCATGTAGTCTAATAAATAGCAAAATATTGTCCGTCCCATTTCTCCAGAGACCAAAGAGACCAAATGTTTTCTTGTGTCATCTGAACAACAGTCCAGAACCAAATTAATATTCAGTTTACTCTGATAAAAAAACAGATGAGCAGAAAATTCTCACTTTGGAGAAGCTGAAACTTTAGAATTTTTGGGCATTTTTGTGAAATGAAAAAGGTGGAGGATTAATCAAGTATCAAAATATTTGGTGATTAAATTTCTGTCAAATGCCAAATTAATGTACTAATCATTTCAGCACTAAACACCAGTGACATTACCATTTTAACTGGCATGTGCCAGTCAAACAGCAACGCAATACCAGTAGTTATAGTGGGACGCCACCAGTTTGATGTTGGAGAGTGGTAGCAGTCAGTCAATCATGATATAAGTACTATAACCACATAGGAGGGCAGGAGCGTACCTGCACCATACATCAGAGTCAGCACACGCCACTAAAACAAGAGTGGTTTACAGGCTATAGAGAATTCATATAGTAAACATTTATTTACTATCAAAAACTGTCCTGAGTTTAAACATGCATGGGATTAAGCCTGTTAATGAGACAAATTTCTCTCCCTGACATGACAGGACAGCTGTTTGTAACAATAAAAAAGTATCTATCACTGTAGATATCTGTGATGCAGGACAGAGGTCACAGCTAAGACCTGCTTCGAACTGTAACATGATTTTCAGACTCAGGATTGTGTTTAGTGAATTATGTCTGTGTGGAACTGTTTGGAGTTTAAATGTTCCTTCAGTCCACTCAGGTCTTTGTTACGTTGCCTTCCTCTGCCTCTGGTAGCCGTGTTTTTTATGTGGTCTGGATTTGAGTCTCAAAGCTGATTGGCTCTTCATGGACTCCCTTTTACCCGTTGTGAGCTCCTCCCCTCCTGGTTTCCACAGCAACAGCTGAGCGTCTTCTCCCCCTGTGACCAGCGCCTCCCCTGTTGCGTCCCACAGGAAGCAGCGCACTGTGGAGGAGTGGCCGCCCTCCAAGTTCCTGAGCAGACGGAGCCCCTTGTCATCACACTCCATCAGGTGGAGATCCCCGCTGTTCTTCCCTCCGACCACCAGCAGCTTCTGGGCCTCCTCCAGCCACCTCCCTCCCACCAGGTAATCCACGCCTCCTCCGTCAGCCAGCGGAGTCAGGCTGCGAGCGTCGGAGGTGCTGAAGATGGTGAGAGGCTCGTCTGTGTCCAGCTGGCCCAGGTCCCACAGGTGTAGCCCCTCGTCGTGGCTGAGGCACAGAAGCTGGGTGTAGTCTGCTCCGGACCAGCAGACTGAGCCAGCGGAGGAGTCGCTGTTACAGGTGGCAAGCAGCGCCTCCTCCTCCGCTCCCCGGCTCAGGTCGAACACATTAACAAGGCCATCTGTGGAGCCAGACGCCAGGCGGTCTTTGTCTCGCGGGTGGAAGCAAACCTGGGTGATGTCATCACTGTGTGACTCAGAGTACACCCCTAGAAGTCCACCACCTGGTTTTCTTATGTCCCAGAAAACCAGAAAGCTGTCCTCGTCGTTTACCTGCTCAGTGCCTGCACACAGGAGCGTGTCGCTGCAGCTCAGGTCAAAGCTGCAGTAGCTGTGAGACGGGTCACTTTTAAACATCTGGACCGACTCTGTCCCGGGCCGGCGGACATCCCAACCCCGGACCGTCCCATCAGCAGAACCAGAGTAGAGGAGGTCAGGGGAGCTGTGGGCAAATGTAACCCCACAAAGAGGCCCGCTGTGGCCCTGATACTCTCCCACCAGGTTCAGAGTGTCCTTGTTGTGCAGGTGGATGGTGAAGTTGGAGCAGGACACTGCCAGCAGGCTGGTTGGCTGCAGGGCGACGTGCAGCAGGTAGGTGGGTTCCTCAGGACGAGACCGCCGAGCGATGGACAGACCTTTGAGCTTCTCGTCCAAACACTCCATGACAGTTCAGCTCAGGGAAGCAATCACACTGAAGAGGAAGAAACAAAAACACTTTACTTTTATACATGCACCATATAAATAATGATGTCCAACATAGAAACAAAAATAAAAAATCTAAATGTCACCTCATCTTCTATGGCAAAGGTCAATTCAAAATTCTGACTCTTTAATGTGTCCTCGTTTATTGGCCATAGTTAAATCTACATGAGGATGTAGCTCTTGATGTTTGTGGTACTGTGATATATTGTGAAATTCGGCATATAATCAACACAGGAAGCAGTGGTTATTGAAGTAACAGTTGTTTATCAGTGATAAACACTAGCTAGTTATTCACGTCGTCCTCTTCCACCAATGTACATTGCTATTTGAGACCATTTTACAATAACTTGTCGTTTGGTGGATTAGACTTACGCCGAAATGCGCACAGCAGCATAACAAAATAAAAAAAGTTAAATGTCGTATTCAGTGTGACGTTTACGTTTGCCGTAAAGCGAAGATACAACAAAATCTACAACATTTTATATGGAGTTTGGCTTTGTCTTCTTCAACTCTGAAACACTCGAGAAGAAATCGGGTCACGATCACAGTTTTAATCAGCCGTGATGCTTGTGTGTTATGTGTTGTTATTAGTGTCTCGTGTGTTGTTATTTTCAACCTACCTACTTTCCAGAAATTTCCAGAAATGAAGGAAAAACGACTGTTAACTTTTCCTTTGACTATCTGGACACGTCTGTCTCCATTTTGGACAAAATACCGCGAAACAGAACGACGATGTTAAGTCCAATATTAACACTACCATTGAATAAACTCCTGCTATAATACACCGATAATGTAACCACACCACTTTTACTCAAAACACGCATGGGGGACATTCTCTGTGTTACACTATTTACAGCCGGCTTGGAACTCTCCCTCATTTGATGGTTCCGGTGTTGCTGGAGGACACATTTTCAGGTAGTTTTTCAATTTATTGATTTAATTATTGTTTTTGCCGGGTCCAATTACAAGATATTATTTTGCTTTATTTTGTTTTTGTTAATAAAGATGGTCGAAACATTTAATTGGGTGGGTAATTTCATGAGCTGATTGCTGTGATAAAACTGACCCTCAGCACTAGCTGTTATATCAACATATTAACTACAGACATACCTCATCAATAATATTAACCTGATATTGTCATCTTGATTGATGCCAGAATCTTGTCTAGTTCAAGTATTGATAAAATTTTGGTAAAACACTTCACAATGAAATACTTAAAAAAGATCCTGTAGACATATTTGATATATAAGAGATACCTGAAGAAATAACACAGGATTGGAATTATTTTTTTATTTTTTTTATTCTGTCTTTAGGGAAACTCAAATTCTTTAAAACACTTTTAGATATCTAAATGTGACTTTACAATATATTCTAAAAAGATACCCTATTTATGGTGCAAATATTCCATTTCTGTCAGGATGAAAAACCTCTGGAACAGCATTTGACACTAAAATAATTCTCCGCTTAAATTAGATGAATGAAATCAATCCTCTATAAACTTCATCAATAAATCAAGCTTTTATTCTACATAATCTGTTTTGTACAGGAAATGCAGGAAGGCCTTTAGAATAAAAGAAACTGATGCCTTCATGGCCAAACTTCGAAGCTGGTTAAAAAGTAAAAAAAAAGCAGTCAGAGAGGCTGTGGACAGATATAAAGATTAGTGATACATAGAAATCTGTACAAATCTTTCAGTTTAGTTCACTTGTGAGCCCTCGGTCATCCAGCAGGTGGCAGCAGCAGCAGCAGCAGCAGCAGCAGCAGCAGAGGCAGCAGCTCTCTGGATGAATGAGGACTTAAAGCTGTTTGGATTGAAGCTTCCCAGCTGACCCAAATCTGAAGTGGCACAGTTCAGTCACACAGAAACAAATGACATAAAACCTCAGTCCTTCATGGCCACTGAAGCAAGAAGAGGAAAGGCCTGCAGACTGGACACAAACAAACAGACACTGAACCATGTCATTTTAAGATGACACTGAAGCCACAAAGTCTGACTTTGTGTTGTCAAGATATGACTCAGTTTTGGTTTTAGTAAATCCTCCGATTCTGTGATGTCATTTGCACCCTGTCCTAACTCCTGCATGTGAGATGTTTAGGGACATCTATAGTCTGTGTTGCTTTTCTTTGGTGAGTAAAGTTGCTGAGATATCCTGCAAACCTGCAAAAGTTGAAAGTTCAAGGCAGAGGTTCAGAGCCTCAGTTATAGCAGGTGTCTTTGGTTCAGTACTTCTTTAGTCCAGGTTGTGTCCCTTAGTCATTTCCCATAAAACATCCACAGACAGAGGTTCACCCACAGTTTTGTGCTCTTTCACTTGTGTTGACACGCCACTCGGCAGAAGAAGAAAAAACAAAGAGAAATGTCTTTAATGTTCAGGCCAGCAGCTGGAGTCTGTCTCCTCCTCTGCTGCTGCAGCCGGGCAGCTCTGGCAGAGCAAAGTGGAAAACTGGTCGTCCTGTGACACACCACATCACCACATCACCATCTGTGGACAGAGCGCAGCTCTGCAGCAGGAGAAACGCTGAAGAGACGACGTCATTAAAAACCTTCATGGTCTTATTCAAATAAGAAAAAACTGCTCACATGTGCTCTGTCACACGTTAGAAGAGCTACCACAGATTTTATAATGTCGCCCAGAGACTGTAAATAGCCTCCCCCTGCAGGGGGAAGACAAAATAACATGAACACTTGATTAAAAAAGGGTCATATAATATTCTCCAGACTGTTTCTCTTACATCTGAAATCATTTTACAGTTTGTCTGGTTGATGCAGCTGCAGTTTGGTCACAGATGGTTTAAGGTCTGTTAGTTCTCCCATCATGCCTTAAAGCAAAGTCAGTCAGAGTGAGCTGCCTGCTGTTGCCATCTTGGCAGTGCCTGACAACGCCTAACTCCCGGCTAATCCAAAAATGGGCAAAAAGGCAGGGCGTATGTGAAATGATAATGAGCTGTAGCTAGTGATCCCAAAACCTTAAAAACTGCCAGACAACGTAGCCACCAAGCTCAGAGACAACTTTTAGTTCAAGGCTAAAGCCGTTAATAAAGAAATAATTAAAAATTAATTATCCAAAAAGTTCCTGTAGTTACGTCCTGGCTCTAACATCTTTTCCACAGCAGACACTTTGACTTGTCATGGCAGGAAAAGCACAGGTGACACAAATTTTGTCAGCAATGGCTCAGTTCCACCAATCGTCCCAGTAAAATCATACCAGTGAGCCAGAATGTGTAATATGAGGACCCTGGAACTGGCTCACCTGATATTGATGTTATCAATTACACCTGTTCTCTTCCTGTAATATGACACGCCAAAATGTCTGCTGCAAAAAAGGTCTATTGTGATAATTAAAGGACTCATTTCAGGGTGTTTGTGATTGTGTATGGGGATAAAAAAGACTGCATCATGTGATCTGTGTCTTCAGATCTATATTACCTACTGTATGTTTTAATGGAGTAAAATTAACCAAAGAGCAGCAGGCACATTATTTCATCATCATTTTTATTGCAGTTAATTTCACACGAACAATCAGACAGAAACAGAGCCTCATTTTGAATTAGAGATCAAATCCAACAATAAAATCTGCAGATATAAAAAAATATTGTGAAACTGCATAAAAGGTCCTCTAATGCTCACATCAGTCAGATCAGGACACGACTGAACTGAAACTGGCTTTAAAGATGAAAACAGGGGAACATGAGGGGTTTAATTCCAAAGTTAAAGGTCCCCGACAAAACGATTACTGAGGGTGATGCAGATGAAGCTCTCTAAAACTATTAATCAATTATTAATTAACCAAGAACTTGTTTTTCTGAGATGGATTTGTGTCCAGTTTGGAATTAAACCCTTTAAAACATGAACATTTTTCTTCTCAAACCAAAGAGGTGAATCATCAAAGGATTTATTTGGTTTGAGACGAACAGACAAAACTGATTTACACTTTTTTTTGTCATGCAAACAGTCAGTGAATGCAAATATGTCCAAACGTTAAAATCAAATACTTCGATTTCAATTAACATTAATATAAAAATGACTTAAGTCTAATCTACAGTGACTCACCTCTTGCTTATTCGAGTGACGGCAGTTCTAAACGAGCAACAGTGTGGGAAACGATAATCTGGTTTGAATTTACAGTATAAAACTTAATTTTTTTTTTTTTTTTAATTTTAGTCACTTATTTCCATTTTCCCTCCTCGCAGGGACACAGTTATGCAGCTACAAAGTGCAAAAGGCAACACGAGAGGACAAAGTGAAGAAACAAGAAATGTCAGGTCCAGAGTTTTCACATGAAAGATAAAAGTCTTCATCTTCCTGAACAACAATAAAGGCACTAAAGGGAAGCGTGAAGCAGAGTCAGGCTAACAGAGCTACAGCTACACAGTTCAACCACTGTATATTTGGTCAAGGTCAGAAAGAATCTTATATATAAAAAGTCGTTTCTCTGAGATCCAGTATTTAACGAAAAAAGAAAATGCCTCAAAAGACACAAAGACGTCCATGTTGCTCAGCAGAGAGCAGAGCCGGACCCTGAGCCACCAGGGGGCGCAGAGGAGCTGAAAATGTCAGCAGTTTTTTAAACATTACAATTTAAGCATTTACTAATAAACTCCCTGATTTTGTTCACAAGCTCAGAAGACATTTGAGCATAAGGGGTGGTAAAAAGAAATTCTAGTTTTCTTTAACTGATTTAACAAAAGTAGATATTATAAAAACATAGTTCAAGGCTGCTTCAGGTTTTGAGATCCTAACAATCATAAAACAAAACAAAACAAGATTATAACAAATTTTGGGAATCTACCATATAACAAATAATGGGATTATAGCAAATGATATTGATGATAAATATAATTCTTTTGGATTCTATGAAAGAATATTTTGTGTTATAAGAAATACAATTTGGATTATAACAAATTTTGATGTTTGATGTCCTAATCCTAATTTATGAAAATCGACCAAATAAGAAATATGAAATTGAAACAAATACAAACTGTAACAGATTTAAAGACCTGATTTTGACAAAAATTAAATATAATTTTTTTTTTTTTAAATTTGAAAAAAAGAATTCTATTCTACCCATTAAAACCTGATTAAAACATAAAATTTTGGATTATAATCCCAGTATTGAAATCCTGAATATATCAAACTACAACATGTTGGATTATATAGTATAACACTGACAATCAGGGAATTTATCGTAAAGTTAATTAATTGTAATAATTTATATTTAAATACTTTTGGTAAAGTTAAACAAACAAATTCAGATCCTTATTAAAGCCCCTAAAACACCTCGGTCCAGCCCTGCTCTGACTAGATTACCACAGATGAAATATATTCTTTCAATAATCCAAGAGATTTTCTTCAGTTCACACACACAAGCACACAAAGACACACACACTGGTTACACACTGGTGAACATGAGTGGTGGGGTGGAAACGGTCCTCTTTAAATCTGACAGTCGTCACAATAGAAACACAGTCATCATCATCTCACTCAGGATGTTTGGTTTAATCTCATTTATCAATCTAATTTCCTCGATTGTTCCTCCATGTGCAGGAAACATCGGCCTGTGAGGATATAAATACCACAAAACACACGTGTTTGAACGCTCACAGCCTCTCCTGCCTCATCACTGACTTACTTCACATGTCACAACGCTGTCCTGACGGATTCAGCTGGAGGTAAAAAAATTATGTTTTGTGTCAAAAATATCACAAGACATGAACATGCTTTTGGCTCCAAGAAAAACCTCGATTTAACATTTAGATTTTTAAACCAGCCTCCTGATACTTATTGGATTGTTACAACAAACCTGATCCCACCACAGGATCAACAGAGGATGTGTGTTTTGTCGATCAAACAAAAACAAAAGACAACGGGAATAAACTTCCGGTTTCACTGGTACAGAGAAGAAAACCACATTCGGTCAGAAACACTACAACAAACAGAAATATGTTCGTGCACGAGGCAAGGCCACAGGATGTGAAAACAAGCCAGACACACTCCCAGGTGAAGATGGCCCATCTGTGTTGACTCGGTTTTATTTAGAGTCCGACAACATGTGAGCAAGTTGGGTAGAAGTTTCGGTTTATAATGTTGGTTTAGGTCTTGTAAATTCTGGATTTGTAGCGTGCAGAGTTGTATTGAGTGAAATTTGTGGCATTTTTTGAGCTCAATATTTGCAGGATTTTCAATTTTCTCTCTTCATTTTTCCCCCCATTTTTTGACATTTTATAGACCAAACAACAAATCTGTTAATTGAGAAAATAATCAACAGATTATCATTAGTTCCTTCGTTCCCTTTATGTTTTATATAAAGTACTTTGTATTATTGTTTAAAGGTGCTATGTAAATAAACTTGTCTTATTTCATCCTTTTGCCACAAGCTAGAATACTTCTGATCTTTTAGCTACTTTAAGTAAAGTTTTAAACCAAAAAGTAAAATAATATGATGGAACTTTACCTGCCACTAAATTTATGTGACTACAGGTAAACTTTTACAATCTTAAAATTCTGAATAAAAAACTCACATTTTCTCTAAACTCTGGTATTATTTTAGTTCAATTTCCCTAGAGGGCAATGACCAAATCTGACCTCAGATCAACATTTAGGATCAACTTCACCCTTTCTGTCTGGCTTGGGAAGAGTGGAGGGGGTGGGGGTGGGGGGGCAGTGCATTCTGGGAACAGTGCATTCATATTAGGACAGTACCGTATACAACAACAACAACAATATAAATCAGGTTATGCCACACGGCTTCCTGCTGAACCTGCTGCCCTCAACGAGGCAAATTAAGACACGTGAAAAGTTTGTTTTTCTCTTGACTGTGTTGGTCCTCAGTTCAGAGGTGAGATGCCACCAGCAGGGGGCAGCAGCACCTGAACGCTGCACTAGCTGGGGAAAAAAATAAAAACAACTGTCCTCAATTTGCCCTGGAGCAAGGCACTTCGCCCACAACTGCTGCAGTGGATAAAACACAGGGATTAATATGAAGCAGGCTCCTCTCCCTGTGTGAACCAAACATCAGGCCTCTGTCCAGATGTTCAGTCATTGTTACCTCCAGGAGAGAGACTCAGAACAGACTCAGTGCAGCTGCACAGTGAAACGTTTGAGACAGACAAGTGAAAACAGTGGGAACATCACTCGTGTTTCAGGTGAAGGTCCACACTCACAGATGCTCAGTGATCAATACTTTCAACTGCTAAAGTTTACTTTTCCTTTTTTTTTTTTTTATCTGTCAGGTGGAAAAACAGCTGGACTCATCTGGAATTTTGACTCAACTTTTTCTTTTCAAACAAATTAGGTTTTGGATGATGTGCAGGATATTCTTCTTTCTTTATGCTATGAAAAAAAAAGTCTTAACACAAAGTCCACTCACTAGATTTTTTCTGGGGCTTTCACCTGTAGCTCGGAGAGTTAGTGAGTGAACGTTGGTTAAAGATGTTTTCTGTCTCCAGAGTCAAGAATGAACCTTAATGCTCAAATCCTCAAAGGGAAAATTCAGATTTTTCCCAACTTCAGTGAATAGCTAATCCAGAGGGCCGCTGTCTGTTCTTATTTGCACGGTCACAGACTCACGTTTTTCAAAATGTTTATTTGGAAAAACTTAACGAGTGTCGCCCCCAGGACAGACTGTTTTGCTGGACACTGTGTTTCCCAAATCTCTGGGTGATTAGTTACAGTGACGAGATGAGACTGTAATTTCTTTTTAAACGTTTCGGACTGAAACTGGACACCTTCGCTGGGGCTGCAGGGTTTCATAACTGATCACTGAGCGCTCATTATGTGTGTGGACGTGGAACTACTTTTCAGATTTAGGATGAGAAGCTGCCATGAAACTGACTGAAGAATTCACACAGACAACACTGTGCTGCTGCTGTGTTGGAAAACGCATCACTGCAATGATCAGGGTCAGTTTCATAACATTTCATGATCCTTTCAACTCCAACAGGACGTCACTGTTGGATTTAATGAACACATGGGGATCTGTTTGAAAACTAATTTCTTAACAGGTCACAATTTACAGATGTTTTTTTGTCCTGCAGCAGCAGCAGCAGCAGCATTTTGATGCCAATGTCATCTACGTATAGAACCAGAAAGGAACTTGGTCACTTCTGAAGAGTAAAGCAGGCACAGGAAAAAAAAAAACAAAAAAAGAAAACGCCCCAGTAAAAGTTCAGATTGGTCCGGTCCTACAGGCATCACCCAGTAAATCCACACTGAAGGTTAAAGTGGAATAACAGTGGTCTGAAGAGGGTTTACTCATTAGTGCAACTCAGCTGCAGCGTGGGAGGACGACAGGAGGAGAGAGAGAGAGCTAAAGGCAAAGTCCATGTGAACGCTGATGAGATGTTTTTCCTGTCTAACAGCTGTCAATACACAAACCCCTGCTGAAATTCACCATGAAGGGTTTTGGGGCACGTGTTTGTCGAGGTCAGGAAGTCTTTGAATCACACATATGATAAGTGTGACCTGAATCATTTGTGTTCTTATTGGCAGTTAAATCACAGGAGTGGTGATAATTATCAGTAAATCTATCATCAGCTCATTTGTAGTTAAAACATCAAGTTTTGCTCAATCTTTGACTTTCTGCTCATTGTGACGATGCTACAGCTGATTTAAGCAGCTACTAGAATGAGTGTGCTACAATATTTTTATTGTTTTATAGGAATAAAAAACAAAAATTTCCAGAAGGAATTTATAATTGTAATTCCCTAAAAAAGTCATTATGTTTTTATGACATGTAAAAGCTGACAGTTTGTTATTAAAATTAAAAATATTACACCGGTCTCTAAACATTACAACTCTTTTCTGTGCATTTTGAGCAACTTTATCCTTGAAACATTAGAACTTTATTTTGAAATTATGGCAGTTTTTTTCAAAATAATTCCACCTCACTCTAATACTTACAAAACTAGATTTTTAACTATATATTATTTTTGCCTGAGCTGCATCATCTTGCTCCCTTCATCATCCTGACCTCACGATCCATGAGCAGTCTTATCTCCGCCACCTCCTCCCTCCTGACGCCAGCAGGTGAAAGTTTTACAGTGTTAAAAAAAGAACAAGCTGAGCCGAGCCGACAGATTTCCGTCATCCTTAAACTATTAAAAACCTCTCTGTACATTTCCCAAACAAAGTGAAGCTTCATTCCTTCCTTCTGGATCATTTCATATGTGCCCTGTCATTGCTTTTTTCATGTCAGCTCGCAGGAAAAGCAATCAGTCTATGAGCAGAGATCAGACGACACGTTGTCTGAGGAAACACAGAGACAGTGAACAGAGCAGACAGAGTGGGAGGAGCCCTTAAAGAAAACTCTGTACATGTGCGATCAAACACCTCAGAAAACGACTCCATTCCCGTTTCTGAACAAATCTGTCTCTTGTAGTTTAAGAGGAGACAAACTAACTTCAAACACTGGGACGTCCACTCCACGGGGGGGGGGGGGGGAAGGACGAAGAGGAACCTTTCTACATTAGAATAAGGAATTATAAAATCACAGGGATCTTATTGTTTTGAGAGGTGAGACAAAAGAGAGGAAGGATCAAATATTAATATTAAGAAGCTTTCAGACGAAGAACCAAACAAAGTTTGAACACACGAACCTGAGCTGTTGATACTGATCATCGATCAGACTCTGAACTTTCTCTGGTTGCAGCTTCTTGCTTTGGGTTTCAAACTAAATGACAATTTAGACCATTTGTCTATCATGTTTTTAAGAAGCTACTTTACACTTCTGATCTGGTAAAAATAACATTCTGTGAATTCCCTGCACTGTTGTGAAATGTTGCTTTTAAATGCTGGAAGTTTTTCAGTCTTCTTACCTTCATGGTTCTTTGTCTGAGCTCTTAATAATAATAATAATAGCATTAATAAAAATATAAATGATAAGACACAGGTCTTCTATCAGTAGCAATCAGTGGCGTTTGTAGTCTTCCGGAGGCCACTGTTAATTTGTTTTTTTTTTGTTTTGTTTTGCTTTAAGATGAATTAGGCTGGTAGAGGAGGAGTGGATGTTCGGCTCTGCTGCTGTTGAGCCGCCACAGTGTCTCCTGGGATCAGGTGGAGCCAGCTGATTTGATTTTAAATAAATGTAAAGAACAGAACAGATATCACTCGCCAGATTTCCTGGCCATCAGGACAAACTCAGGGAAGCTGTTGGAAGTAATCAGCTGCTCCTGTGTCGTCCATCCTGAGCGCTACTCTGAGCAAACAGGAGAGAAAAAAAACAACAACTAGAAAACAGATAAAAAAGGCAGCATGCAGATCAGTGCTGAGGCTTTAATTCACCCTCATCAGTCCCAAACCGGCTGCCTCTGGTTAGGAAAGTGGTTTTGGATGCAAAGAAGTAGCAAAACTGATCTGATAACAGCATTGGGTGAACATCTGGAGGGTCACGTCACTGTGAGCTAACATCCAGTCAGGAGAGCTGCATGTAGCTGAAGAGCAGCGGGACCAGGAAGAGCACGTTGAAGCCCACCGCCCCGTAGACGATGTATCTGTAGGGCAGCTCCACCTCCATGTGCTGCCTGGCCTTCCTCACGTCCCCGCTGGGCACCCCGAACACCCGGCACACCAGCGGGATGGTGATGGCCTTCATCAGCGCCCGTGTGGCCATCAGCACCAGGACGCCGAGGACGAGCCGCAGCATGGCCGTGCCCGCCAGACCCACGCTGAGGGCGGGCATGATGAACGGGAGCTGGTCTGGCGTCGGGTCAGGCAGCAGGCCCAGGTAGTTGTTGACGTGGGAGGCCAGGGCCACGCCGGCCCCCGTGCCCAGGATCTGAGCGGTGTCGCCCCGCGAGGTACTCCAGGTGTCCAGGGTGAAAGAGAAGAGGCCGAGGCCCAGGTGGAGGGAGATGATGATGAGCGGGGCGTAGCGGCAGGTCAGGTTGAAGCCGTCGATCTTGTCCAAGGCTGGGAGGAAGAAGAGCAGGATGAAGACGCTGTACAGGACGCCGACCATCACGTCCTGTAGAAAACAAACAGAGAAACAAAGATTGTAGTGGTTTTATTCAAAACAATTCTTAATCCCACATTTACACACCGATGGCAGTGAGCTACCGCACATGGTGCTGGGCTCAGTTTCTTCCTGAGGACAGGAGAAGCCGGGAATCAAACCACTGACCTCGAGGTGAGTGGATGAGCGTTAGCGACAGTGATTAAAAGAATTAAGCTGCTTCCTCTGTCGCACCAGTCTCACTTGTGGTTTATAAACCTTTAACATTTCACAACAGCCTTCAACCACATATAAAACTGTTTTAAGTAATGTTACTGTCTAAGGCAAGAAAATAGATTCAAGACTTTTGTAAATGAAATGACAGATTTCCTGATATCCTCTAGGACTGGACAAATTCATTGAAAACTAATTGAAATCGCAATATCCAAATCACAGGAGCTGCAGTTATTTAAATAAAAGGTAAAATGTGTCACAACATGCCGTTATAAATGAAGCATTATGTTGCCACAGAGATGTCCAGGCCTACAAATCATATTCTCCAGACACAGGGGAACACGCTTGTTTGGTTCAAGAGCCCAAAATAAAACCACACCATTATAATTTTTTGATTTTTTTTTTCAGCGAAACTGCAAAGCCAAAGTTGCCATTCCCACAAAAATTGTGACTTATATTGCAATCGCAGCGGGAAATGAATTCAGTGCTTTTTAAGACTTGTCAAGAGCTGAGCAAATCTACAGCTGTCAGTGGCGTTAAATGAAAATGATGATTAGTAAGTGTTGAAGTCTCCATTTACTGCTCACTACTGAGCATTTAGTGTCCGTTACATAGGGATTAGTGAGTGCATGAAGAAGGGAGTGGCCTTCAGACACAGTCAAAGAGTTCATGGGGTTGTTCAAGGGTAGGACACACGGCTGCTGGGAGGAAAAGCCTCCGACATCCTGAGAGGGAGAACACACACGTGACTGAACAGGTTACAGCTCTGAGGCGTCTCATGTAGGTGTCGTTATCTCCCACACTCATCTGTCCTCATCATTTTTTTCACCGTTGTTCTCACAAACCTCTGACCCTGAGTCAGACCAGGAGGCTTGTGTTTGTTGCAGGATTCTTCTTTGTCTTTTTTTGTTCTTATCTTTGCTTTGGGATGGACTGATGCCCTTGAGGTCCTGAAGGATTGTTAAGTTTTGTCTTGTGCAAAGACAATTATACCTTATGCGTACAACATCTTAGATAAGATAAGATAATCTAAGATCTTGTGTGCAAAAGGTAACAACGTGCACATGGTATGGATGCTGTGAGAACAAGATACTAACGAACCTCCGACCAAATTTACCATTTGCAGACAATAAATAAAGAACGATTAATTGATTGATTGAACAATATCCTGCATCGGATAAAAAAAGGTAAAAGATAAAAAAACAACAAATACAACCGTCTAAAACTGAATCAGCTGAGTCCCTGGTTTCATTTCACTGAGTCAAGTTCAAATCCAGATAAAACAAACTTCAATGTGACAAAAGTTCAGGGTCTGGATCAGGTCACAATCTCTTGAGATAAATATTTGTTGGTGCGTTTCCTTCTGATGGATGAAGGAAGGACTACTGACAGGAAACAGGAAGTCAGCGAGCACAACATGGCCATGAACTCTAGACACAAACACAAATGTCATCACAACCATTTATTTATTGACCTGAGCAGCAAACTGAGTTGGCTTCCTGCTCTGGCACTGATTACCTGTGGATTTAACCTTTCAAACATATCCCTGTGTTTACGTCACAGCTGACCAAGAACTCCTCTAAGACTAAAGGAGCTAACTGTATATTAAGCGCTTAAAAACCACCATAAAGATCAGCTCTACATGTGATTGAGAAAAGAGCAGAGGAGTAGAATCACTCGCTGACCGACGTTATAGCATCATCTCACTTTACACAAAAGAATGATCTCTCACACACTCTCTCACACACACACACACACACACACACACACACACACACACACACACACACACACACACACACACACACACACACACACACACAGGTTTGGAGATTTTAAATTACAGGAAAAAAGAACTGGTATCAGATGGATGAAGTCAGACTAGTCCATCTCTAGTGTGTCTTTTAGGGTGGTTTGCCTGTTCTTGTATTAACCTGCATGAATATTAATAACATTAAATATTGAGGGGGAAGTTGTCGTTGTGAATGTGCACAGTGGGGGTGCAGTGTGTAAATCAACACTTTATAGTCCCTCCTCAGGCCGACCTAGGTGTGTACAGTGTTTACTTTGCTTCAGGGTCTGACAGCAGGCGTCTAATCAGTGTCTAGTTTCCCTGGAGAAGAAATCGATGACGGTTACTGTATATTTACACCAGACCTCATCCACCAGCCAAACACTGGGACATTTCAGCCCAGCCTGGCAGGTCAGTCGACTTGGACGACTACAATGGCAGGAAACCAAGATCCTGTTACAGTTTAAATATCTATTTGGCTGCTTAAATACATGTTGTGGTCCATATAAGCCCTGATCTCACAGTCAGTCATTAACCCGTGCTGAACTATGAGCGCAGCAGGAACTCGTGTCCTTGCAGAGTAACCGACAGCACACGGCGACACTGCAAGGACACATTTTACTGCACGGCCGTTTAAAGGCGACGGCGAGGTAACGGACAGGAAACCCCTCAGAAGGTTACTGCCATTCATCACTGCTGCCGCTGCAAACTTTTATCAGCCCTCTTTCTCTTAATGACAAACACACAGTGAGTGAAAGCTCTCAGCCGCCTGTAATTTTCTCCTCCACTGACACAAGTAGAGGGAGCTCTGAAACAATGACCCGCCTGATCTATAAATGTCCAGAAGGAGCAGGAGCCGGTGGCGCGGCGGCCTGAAGGACCGCGCAGCCATTTGGGAGAAGCTTTTATCTAAAGTGCCTTACAATGAAAATAAATGAGTGTGTATATTGTCAGGCTGTGTGGCCTCAGTGGAAACACAACCACTAATAGTCCTGTACATAAAGCTTGACCCAATGTGACTCCTATCTGTTGTTCATCTGGATACTTAATCACTTAATGGATCCTGCAATCAGCATCCATTAAAAGACTGTACAAGTTCAATAAGTGTACGAGCTGTGGACATACAGCGAGGTGATTGATAACAGTCTTTACACTTTATTTCTTAGAGCTGCAACTAAATATAATTTCCATTATTCATTAATGTGTTGTATGATTATTTATTTCTCCATCCATTGTTGGGCTCATAAATTTGGCAGATGAAAGTGAAGGTGAAGGTTTTAGTTCATAATATCACTCATATGATTATACAAATATTAAATTGATTATAGACAATTTTCTGTTGATCAATCTACTGACTGATTGTTTTAGCCACAATCACAAATAACAAATTTGCCTCAAGAGGAAAATATAATCTGTTGAAAAGCCAATCAGCTTTGTACTATGACACACTGGATTTTGCATGAACCCAATTTTCTCAAGAGAGATTAATGTTGTTTGCAGTTAACGCTCTTTTAAGCGGGCGGGTACAGCTGAAAATAAAATCGATCCATAGTTGTCACATGACAAAATTATAACATTCATAAAAATAAGATGTATTTGGTGTTATAGAGAAACAGTTAAGATTTAGAAAACCAAGATTTTAGGGGCTTTGACCAACCGTACCCTCAGATTCTGTGACAACCCCCGATCCCAACATTGTTTCATAAATACAGCAGAGGAGTTGGGAGCAACAACTTTAGACAGTACCCACCAACCAAGTAGTGTATTTTTTTGTACACTAGTTTTGGATAGTGAACAAAAAATACTGGCATCTGTACTTCTCATTTGTACTTAACTTATTTTACAATACAAGCTAAAACACCAAAAACACCAAAAGGGAAAGTGCTCATTTAGGAGTCTGGCAAAAGGTTTGCAGATGTCAACAACACTCATCAGCAGCAGAACAGCTTTTTGTCTCTGAGCTCTTCCTGCAGAACAAAGGAGGAGGAAGTAGTTTCATTGGGCGTGATGATTTCCAGAGCGCATTAAGTGCCCGGCAGGCCTTGCAGAGCAGACCGCTAATGGCTTCCCACGTGTTCAAGCTCCACTCCCTGAAACACAACAGTCCCCGCATGGCCCGACTGCAGACATCAGACTGTGTTATCAGGTGGAAACGAGCTCTGTGCATGTCGACCCACGGACCGATCCATCTCACATAACTCCAGGTCTGAGGTCTCGACCTAAATTTTGTGTTTCTGAGATCACTGTTTAAACAATGCGCTGGTTAAAGAAAACATGAGGCTGATTAATGCTCCCAACACCTTCCTGTTCACACCCCTCCTTCTTGGAGTCTTAACTCAATCAATCAAGGCAAGAAAAAATAAATAAATAAAAAAAGGCCTAGGGTTCAAAAGTAAAGCCCAGCACATATAACTAACTGTCACATCCCACTGCACTTCGATTTAAACTCTAGCAAGAGAGAGATCCCAAATTTTCCAGAGATCCCAAATGTGTCCGACTTACATGGATTTGTCAAATTTTCCCATCTGTTGTAATATTGCTGGCTTGAATATTTGACCCAGCACAAGTATGACATAGTTTCACTGAAGCGTTGGAAGAAGTAAATGTAGATTATGTAGCTATAGGACAGTGAAAAACAGTTTGGAAAAATCTGGTTTCTTATTTGTGCTTATTTAAGGGAAAAGTTTAGGGAAGATGAAAGTTTAAGGGATTTTCAAGACAAACTAACATCACTGGTTGCCGGTGGAAAGTAAACTGGTCTGTAATGTGCTGTTGCTATGGTTATAGATATTGTTTATATCCATCATGCGATCGAATGAGAGGAAAAATGTGTACGAGGAGGAGCAGCAGGAGTTTGTTGATGACAGACAGAAGGTTTTATCTATCTGACAGAACCATGAGTGGTCAAGTGGAGGAAGAGGAAAGGGCTGAGTGAGACAAGGGCGGAACATCTGGAGTACAAACTGTCACAGGAAGAAATAGTAAAAGTGCTTTGTGGGAAGGAAACAGGTTCTTAAATGCTCCTTGCTGTTAGTAAACAATGTACTCAACGGGGCAGCACTAGATCCTCCAAAACAAAATGTCCCCAAAGTCATTTTGCAGCTCTAACAGCTGGAAATAATTTAGATTTGAGATGAACTTAAGATGTTATACTTTGTAGAGCTGAAACCGTTTTTAATCTGGGTTTTTGCAAAGTTCACCAAGTTAGATCTAAGACATCTTAACCATAGCAGATGGTCTGGAGCCTTGACATCACGGAGTCAGATTTTTTCTATTTGCTGCACTTTGTATGGAGTTAACTTTCGAAAGCTTCCTCACTTTTCCCTTTTATTTTAGTGTCTAAAACATCTGCACGGTACTGTGTGTGATGGTGTGTTTAAAAGCATAACAAAGACAAACATGAACTGGGTAATCAGATGTCTCCTGCACCGTTTAGGAACAGTTCTGAAATGGAACTTGTATCAAGATCTTGTTTGACCCTTTGTGAAGTCTTGCGATCCTACCGGGAATGGCACAGACACCCGTTATGTAAACGGAACATTACTCTTGGTTATTTATTGAGTTAATTAGGACTTAAGTGCCGTCTCACTGTCACAACCATAATCACAGTAACGAACTCCCTCTCAGGCTCCAGTGTTGCCTATTAAGGGAGATGGGGATTTGTGGCGTCTGATTTTCACAGACATTTGTGGTATTGTTAATGCTACGGATGCACTTGAATCTGATTGGCCAGGACAAGTCTGAAGATGTTTGGAACAGGATGACTCACACCCGCGTCCTATAATTTACTCACTTTGAATTATAAATCTAATTAACTGTTGAATTAATCATCTTAATGTTTGTCTGGGTCAGGTCTTGTTTATCTGAGGGAATATGAATGTTATTTTCTGTTGGGATGGTCACAGATGGAGCAGAGTAATGTGGGCCGGCAGATGTGCATGTGGTTCCTGAGGTGGAGGTCGTGACTGTGACACCACCTGTGGGCAGCCACAGAGAGCCCTTAAAGAAGAGCCTCTGATGTGGAATTACCTTCTACAGTTTAACTGGGAGGGAGGCCAGCGTGCTGTAACGTCTGCTGCTCCCACACAATCATCAATCAGTCACTATGACACAGCCGTGACCACGGAGACCGTTGCCCTGACGACAGACAGCCCGACCCCAACAGTGCACAGAGACTGACATCATTTACCGGTGAGAGGAATTAGCACATACATGGTTAATGTGACCGAAGCATGGACAGAAAAACCCACACAAGATTCTGCGGTGACTGAATTATTTGCCAGAACATTTATTTCCTTAAAATAACTAACTAAACTCAGAGCCCTTTAACCACAAACTTCTAGAGGTCTGGAGGAGGAACTGCAGGGGGTCTGTAAGAATAAGATTTATATTTGGGGAAAAAAAAAACAGCATTAAAAACTGCAAATTAATTAATTTTCATTTGGAGTCGTGTGTCTCTCCATCATTCCCTCTCTTTTAGCTCTGTTTTTGGTCTCCACCAACTCCTGAGAGAAACATCTGCCTCTGTAGCTGCTGCTAGAGTTTAAATGCTCGGCTATGTTCACTAGTTAGTTGCTAAATGTGTCTGTTTTTTTGCTGCTGAGGATTTAAATGCTGCTGACCACTTTCATTTGAGGGCAGTGGGAGAACTGCAGGGAAACTGTTTCTTCTTTACTTTACAACAGTTGGTTCATTGATGCACTTGTTAGAAAACTAAAACATTTCCTACATGTTAAACTGTGGTTGTTCAGTGACCACACTCAAAATTTTCTGCAGAATATTTTGCTTTTTTCTGGTGTTTTAACGACCCAGTCAGTCTCTCATATGCAGTGGGTGGTTTGCAGACATTGAGAAATACTGTACTGCTGTAGGGGAACCTGAGGTAAACACACCCACCCGGTGGTGTTAGATTATGTTTTTCATGACAGTACCTGTATTGTACAGCAGTGATCTCATCTAGCCAGAGCCCTGCTGTCGGCAAAACAATCCACTAACGTGAGAAAGGCCAACGAAAGATGCTGGGGCAAGTTTTTGCAGGCACGGATATTCCTCAACAGTTTCCACTAAGAAACTGTGAGATGCTGCTTTTAACTGTCTCACCCACCTACACATCCGCACTGAGACATATACAGACCTGAGCACGTTGGGGACGTGATGACGACTCCAAACAAAGTGAGGACAGAGCGTAATGTGGCGCTTGTAACTGTGAACGCTGCAGCATGAATGAACTTTGATCTGTACACAGATTAAAATGCCCGGAATGAAAATGCACCCAGATAACAAACCTAAAATGTGGAGCAATTTTAGGGTACAGCTGTTACACTGCACAGAAAAACACAGTAGTTCATCATCATCATCCTCAGTCCTCCAATAATAACAACAACCCCCGCTGGGTGTAAATGAGAAGCAGACACCTGCCAGATGTTAGTAAACTCGGGTTGGTTTCTCCACATTTCTAACGTCTGAAGCAGGAAAACCATTGTTTGGAGATTTGAGTTCAGATTCCACCTCCTGCTTGAAAATCAATGGGTGGAAAGGTTTCCTGTTTCATAGCCTGTCTGCTGATCACACCATACAAATAACTCCACAAAGACGGACGGTTCAGTTTAAATGTTAAAGTCCCACTACGCTCAGAAATGTGTTTTTCTGACTGTTACTTCCCTGTGATGTTTGAGCGCTGCTGTGCAGAATGATGTAGTGATGGAGTTTATTGTCACATTCAAAGTGTCTCTGTGCTCACCTTAAATCTGAGTTTAACACCTGTCCATACCAACAGGATTTTGTGACAACTAGCGTCTCAGGAAGAGGAACACGTGTGATGTGGAAATTTGAAACCTTCAGTGCAAACAGTTTTTATTCACCACAAAACATGTATGAATGAAATCTTTAAAGGCCCCTTATTGTAACAAGTGAGATTTCCATGTCTTTTTTAATCGTAAAGCAGTTCTAGGTTTTATATTAATACTGTGAACGTATCAAAGCGCTCAGCCCACAGAGAAATGCACACAGCCACACAGTATTCAGAAACTGAGCCTTATAAGGAGCCGTCAGGACTTCTGTAACTTTGTGATGCCATAACAAAGCAGACATCGCTCTCAGCCATGTCCTGTCTGTTTTTAATTCAAGTGCTATTTGGCCGTTAAGCAATATTACTTACTAAGATTATTGTTCACAATAAGTATCACAGTGGGCGACACAATAATTCTAACTTCAGATCCGAGCCCTTAACCACATCTTACTGTCTTCACCAGCTGGAGTAGCTCGTTCACAGCTCTGAGGAACCCACTGAGTGAATCTTGGGTTGATATATTTGACACGAGCACTGACACACTGACTGTGTGACATGCAACAAAGGTCCCTGTCTGGGAATTGGACTGTGGACTTTGCAGTTATGTGATGTGTGGAAGTACTTTCTACTGCACACTGCAGATGCCAAAATTAACGATAAGGTTGTTTGATGACTTTGTAAAAGCATCTGCTTTTCTCTACAACCACAACAGATCAGAAGTGAAAGTGACATAAAGAGGCACAGGAACTGGGGCAAAGTGATGATCTAAATTTCATGTAAAACAGTTCTTTTTTTCAGGATCAGGAAACTGGTGAACTCACAGCTTCTCTGCAGCAGTGGAAGTAAATTAAAGCCTGAAAACAGATGCAACCATTGTTGATGAGTTACAGACCCACTGTCTGTACAAAGGCAATGTTGGAATCAACTGTGTTACTACACCCTGTGATGCATTACTATCTCCTGGACCACATTTTGCCATGATGGCACAGACACAGACTCACAAGATGAAAAACACTACCAGCCCTGCTGTGGCGGCTGGTAACTCAATAACAACTGGAAAAATGGAAGTGCTCTAAAACGGTTGCCTAGTAGTCTTCATGGGTTGCATTTGAATTAACTCAAATAATTACATGTTGGTTCAAATTCATTCAAATTCAACTTTTTGAAAAAAGAGACAGCCACAGAAAATACACAGTTGAGCATCTATTTTCAACTGTCGAAGCAGCCTGGTGGAAAGTTGTTGTTCTTCACATTTCTATTCTTTTCAGACGAATGAATGGTGTCACAAACACAAGCAGCTGTTCTGTGTGTAGTAGTCCTGTAGTTACACTGGTGATTGTGCTGCTGACACCAGAACCTGACGCTGACCCAGTTCTGAAGCTGAAGTGACTGCTGGTCAGATACTGTTTCCTACGGGTCAGCTATCATGTTCAAACAGACAGAATGACGTTACATTGGCGCTGCAAGTAGCAACGCTGGCACCATATGTGTGTGTGTGTGTGAGTGTGTGAGAGAGAGAGAGAGAGAGAGAGAGAGAGATCAGACTCACCAGGACTGAGTGCATCCCCATGTAGATTCGACTGACGCAGACCAGCAGACACCAGCAGAGAGCCAGACTGAAGCCCAGTGTGAACGGGTACTGTGGAGGGGAAAGGAGGCAATTTTAAATTTCTTTTTGTCTGGACATTAAAGCGGTCGGGTCTGGTTATAATTAAGACAAACATCTCTGATGCAGCTCTGATTAACTTATGAGAACTTTAACCTAAAGAGAGAGAGGTAGTAAAAACCAGAACACAACAACAATGACTTTCAATATGAGTGACTCTGTCAGTTTCTTTCTGACTGATTGATAACTTTCAGGGGGCCTACAGTGACATCTTCAAAAAGCTGGTTTACAGTCCTAAACCCAGAGATATTTTACTGACTGTCACATAAAACAGGGAAACTCTGGAAATCCACATGAGGAGCTGGAACCAGAGAATGTTTGGCTTTTTTGCTTGAAACACGACTGAAACAATTAATTCATTATTTCAGCTACTCAATTAACAAACTAATCACTGCAGCTCTGGACAGAAGCAAATAAATCCACATATTTGAGAAGTTGTGAGCAGCAAATGTGTGATGTTTTTACTTGATAATGACAAGAATGTGATTAGCAAAACTGTTTTTTTTCCCCAGTGTAAACAGGAAGCAGATTGTCTACTCTGTAGTTGATTCGTTGCAGAAAATACTACAAATGAGGAACAGCAGAGGCAGTTAAAATTGAGAAGAATTTAACTGCACAGCTTCTAGCAAAGACAACAAGGTCAATAACACTTGTATTTCATTATCCATGTTGCTTTCACCACTGGTAGTCGAGGCTGATAAGACTCAATCAGGGAGTGACTGTGGGTGTCTACCTCATCGTTTCCAAAGGTCTCAGTTTTTGCCTTTCCAGACTATAACACAACCCCAAAGTTTTCAAACTAAAACGGGTCCAGCAGCATCTCCAAAAGTCTGTTTTAGGGGCTGAGGTGGATGTAGCCTCAGTGAAACTTCCTGAGTAAATGAAGCTTAATTAACTTTCTTTATGAGGAAATAAATGCTTTCAACACCTTTATTTCACCTCAGGGATACATCCAATATGTATTGGTGAGAAACACTGAACATAAACAGAAGCAAAGTCCCTTTCGACATACAATTCTTTTAAAATAATTAAAGCCGCATTCCTTCACATGCATATAAAGTTGACTCTGCTTTGTACGTATCCTCTGTTCTTTGCTGTGATCAGCATGAAGGTAACTGTGTTTCGCATTATATAATAACTACGTCTACTTGTTGATGAGTCGCTGCATCAAAGCTAACTTATCAAACTGCGGTATGTTAATTAATTTGACCTTAAATGATGATGAAATAACTGGGTGTGTTGGAGTTGACACTCAGCTACAGCTTGTTGAGTGTGCAGTTCGTAACAAAGCCTTGATAAAATGGTGCGTTGATGCAGTGGGTATGATAATCTGCTAATGTGTACTGGACTCAGAGGACCTCATAAATATTTCAGCAATTCTGCTGTTTCCTTATCAGATGTACTTGGCCTGCAGCAAAGAGAGGGCGGAGGAACAGAAAGCTGGGGGTTGTGTTCACACTTCAGCTTAAAGTGGTCAAAGTCAGATTCTTTTCCCTCATGTGACTCAGATTATTTGTTTTTCTAATCAGTGTAAACTGCAAAAAAAAAAAAACTGCAGTGAGTCACTGTTCCTCAGTTTTCACCCAAGTCACATGAGCATATGCCTCAAAATCACATCCCGAGCCGTGAGACATGTGACGTCTGACTCAAACACTCAGTGTTGTGCAGTCAAGCCAAGATGATGTGGTGCTGCGATGAACGAGTGAATCTTAAGTGTCAGCAGCTCGGCTGATCATCGCCAGCAACAAAGGGAAACCAAAGAAGGACGAAAGTCACATTGAAAAAAGACTTGAATCAAAACATAGTCAAGCACCACTGAAACTCCCATGTGCACACTGAAGATGCAGGGACGTGTAAATCAGAGGTCTGCAGGATAGAACAAACAGGCTTGTGAAAAACTTAGAATGTACCTGCCAAAGCTCTAATCTGATAACAAGAGCAACACATGCAGCACTGAGCTGCCAGTTTGTTCATGTTAGCCGATTTCTTCTTTTTATTTATTTTCTTTCATTTGTGATCCTGGTCAATGAAATGTCAAGTTAAGAGTTGTTATATCTCTTAAGTTGACAACAGCTTTGCTTGTTGTCGTTCTTCTGTTGCAATTTTTAATGAATGACTCTGAGTTACTGGGTGTCTGAGGAACGTCTAAGTCACTGAACAATTCTGAGGTGAACGAGGGTACGACTGTGGACGCGCCTATCCAACATTTCCTTTCCTGGAAACGATTCTTGTGCCTCAACTCAAGCTGTCTGTCAGTACCAAGGTACAGATCCATCACCAGAAGAAAGATTTTTCCCAAATGAACATCTGTATAACTCCCTAAAGCTGGAAGAATTTTCATGGAAAGTAACATAAAGCCAGGGTTTGCTTTCAGCACTAAAAATCATTAGGCAGCTCACCATGACTGAATGAACGTAGTGGACAGTGGAAACACTGAATTTTATAATGACACTGACAAAGAAACGGTGAATCAGTCATTTCAGGGCCCATTTAAAAACCCAAAACCAAAAAAAAAAGCTGCCCACCATAGTCCTCAAATTGCTTGTTTCATGCAATCAACCCTACAAACCCCTACAACATTCAGTCCACGGTCACGTAAAACAAAGAAGCTGCTCTAGGACCGAAAAGAACCGGAAAATTAAGAAGAGTGAACAAGGTAAAATTTGGCATAAGCTTGAATAAACATCAATTAAAATCTGTTGATAAACTATTCTATGTATTGACCAATTTGCTGGATATGAGCAGCAGTTCAGGACTTTGCATGCAGGTCTGCAGTGTGAACAGAAAGAGGAGGAGAAAAAAGAAAATGAGTGACAGCTCAGTTGAAAGAGGTGACAGATGAAAGGATGAGCTGCTGAGGTTTGCACACTTGCTAAAAGCCCTTTGTTCTCTCCATTGTGGCTCCTGTGTGCTGAGATAGCTCAGATTTCCTCTCACACACCAGAGTTACATGGCACACCACCATTGTGACTCCCAGACCTCCAGCCTTCAGAGGGAGTAGGGGTGGGGGGGCAGTTTTGTACGTCCTGCCAGTGGTGTGTTGTAGATGCACCAACCACAGCTAAAATACGCCTGCATTTATCCAAAGGTGTGAGCTTAGTTCACAGCTTGTGTGTAATGGAAAAATAAATTAAATTGATTCACTTCTTTCACATATTTGACTATGAGTGAATTTTTCCAGACTTTCTGTAGAGGTCTATAATATTTAAAACTTAGGCTTGAGTGTGTCCAAGCATCTTGCTGCAGTTCCTGAGAAGGCTTATGATTTTGTATAAGTGCATCTGTGTATTTTAAGCCATCTTGTATTTCAAGCCAGGAGTTTTGTTTTTATGACTGTCCTCAAAAAAAAACTAAAAACATTGTGTTTTTGTGCTGTGTGGTAAAAACAAAGACAGTGCTCCATGTTCTGGAATATGAATTTACTAACTAAGTGACTGACAAGGCAACAAACAAAGAAAGTCAGAGGGCACATATATTTTAAGCATTTGACCAATTTCATGCAAAAGCATTTTGTGTCACCAATACTTTTTTTTAACCACTTTTCCTTTTTAAAACATCACCCAAAACTGATGTCAACCAGCAGTAGGTGTTTAAGACTTACATGCATTTTATTCTTTACAATCTCCACAAAAATAGTACATTTATATTTCAGCCATTTAGATCCAGAGTCAAAGGCAGCAGCACAAAGCACAACACCTGTTCAAAGGCTGCTGCATCAGATATGTGACTGACAGGCTACATTTAGAGGGACTCCTGTGAGACTCTCCCACAGGTGTCTCTCTAACCACCAGGCTGCACTTGAAAGAGTCAATTATAAACTCTGAGAGCTCTTTCAAAAATGAGGTCAGTGTAGAGGGAGATTTTAGTTGGGAAACAGGCGTCTTTATGTGTGTGGATTAGCTCAGATAAACGCTGTTTGGGAAACCGGGCTGAGAGTCGGAGGCAGGGCGCACTGAGGAATCAGTGTGCGGACATCTTGTCCACACGGTGTTCTCTGTCCGTGTGCAAACAGAGCATGTGTCACCGGGTCCCACGGCCGTGTTTGCATGCTTGCTCTGGCCTCAGGCCTGTGACCACGGCGGTGCGGCGGTCGGCTCGTGCACAGTTTTATGGACATGGTGTGTTTTTTGTGTGGCTTGTGGTTCTACGCACACTGCTTATTGACCGTTAACCTCAGAGTAGGGTTTGCTCTCTGCTCCCTAACGTGACATATGCTGCACATACATACACACCCAAACCACAACGCTCCCAGGATGAGCTGTGTTTGATTTTCAACACTGCCAAGATGTAAATAAGTCATAACTAGTAACTACAGTGCAATATATCACTTTGCATAGTGTTGGGGTACGAGTATTAAGTAGCACACAAGTATAAAAGAAAGTGTAAGGTAAAGGAAAATACAAATACCTCAGAATTGTACTTCAGCACAGTTTTGTTTTTCAATATTCGGAAATGGCTCTACCACACATTATAATGGTCACAAATAATAAAAACACCAACAAACGTCTCTGGAAAAATGTGCACATTGGCAAAAAGATTCAACCGACATACAAACCAAAAGATTTCATTATTAATCTGCCAATTATCTTCTCAATTTATTCTAATTATTTAGTTTTTATCTTGTGATTTTAAGTTATATCTTCATGGGTTAACTCTACATGGTAATGCATTTCTATGGTGTCTCTCCTTTACTACGTTCAAACAAAGCTTCGTCTGAACACATAAAACAGCTGCTGCAACAGTCATTGGGATTTCATTTCTGCACATGAATGTGAGCTAGCAAAATAAAAAAGTGCAGCTCTTAAAAAACTGCTCTTGAGAAAAAAAAAAAAAAAAAACATTGCAAAGGCCGTTTTCCGTCTCCTGAATGCAACAGAGGAGATATTTGGTTGATATCCATCTGCAAATTGAATGAAAACACAATGTACTACTGATGGTTGGAGTTAGGAAATGCTATACTGCTCATTCATGCC